TACTTTAAATAATTGCACAATGGAATAGGTGCATCACACACACATCCCAAACATCAATGGATCCTCCCAGTTGAAAAGGAGCAAAAGCTATAGACAAAAATAAACACTTCAGATTTAAATATGGCAACAAAGACAAAAACGCCTCTAAGTGCTTCAATTGAATTCAAATGTTTTGGAGGCCACAACAAGGTCTACTGTCTTGCACAGAACTTTTCTCTGTGGGTCAATACGTACTGTGTATCTTACCTGACAGTGCTGATTTTAACAGAATTTTAGGGGGGAAATCTGTAGTACATTTAGTGAGTATCTGATGCAAAACAACAACAAACACAGACAAAAGGCCAACATAACATCACTCTGTCGTTCTCACAAAAACTATTTTGCATCTCCTCTGTCAATCAGAGCTCTGAGCTGTTCATTGCCCCAGGCTCATTTGGATCAAGGTCTTTGATGTCGGCCTGCTCCGGGACATCACAGTCGAGCCACAGCCTGTGGGCAGCAGCACAGCTAGTGCACACTGCGCCTGTGATTTACCTGGACCCAGACTCCCTGTGGGATTGTAGAAACTACAGGGGGTGGTAGGAGAAGTGTGGTGTGTCCGCATGGTCAAACTCATGCTCATTAATACATACAACTAATGAATGTTGATTGACAAAGGAAAAGAAAACAAAAAAACTTGCCAAGGTGTTTCTATAAAATGACATTTATATCGAAATGCTTCCTAGTGCTGTAGTACTAACAACACACGTCTTTTTTTGTGCATTTCTTTGGATGTTCAAAGAGGTTAACTAACACTTGTCGTAAAGAATAGCCTTAAAAAGGCTGAAACCTACTGGTTATTATAATAAAGCTGTTCCCTATTCTGCAAGTGCTGCTGTATCTTCAACCTCTTGTTCTTCTCCATGCACCTTGGAAGTGGGTGAAGTTGTTCTAGAAACCCCCATTCTGTTTCTTTAGATGGCCTCATTGTCTGAGTTGCAAAGCAGTTCTTTGGACATATACTGAGTACTGATTTTAAAAAATCTGTTGAATTAAAAACAAAATTGCAGACAAATCACTTTAAATGCAAAATCAATGCACATATGTCTTACTATTTGACTGATATAGCATACAGCAGGAAAGAAAATTGACTTTTTTTATTTTCGCTGTTTGCTCGTAGTCTTACCCTTTGGTAATTATTTCTTGTTGTGTTCAGCCACTCACAGATATTTCTGACTTGCTAGATGCTTCATCTCTCTGTGACATTTCAGATTTGTTGCCAGTGTGCCTGACATTCTGAATTTTTGATTCAGACCTTGTGGGCAGAATATGCTTTAAAATGTTAGATTCCTTCTAACGGAGTCTACAGTAGTTCACCTTAAAGCTCCTTTAAGTCTTCCAGTATTGGGTTTGCTTCAACAGTGCTACAGATAGCTGTATCTAAACTGCTATCTGAACTAGATTTTCCAAAAATCTAGAGTAAAGTTCAAACACTAGAACAAAACCCATTTTTTCTGGTGCCATTCATAATCATATTTAACTGTCTAATGCAAGTATTCAGTCACCCAAATATATGGCAGCAATGCAGTGTAGACATGGTCAAGATGATCTGCTGAAGTTCAAGTAGTGTTGCTGACCATGCCCACTCCTTTATGACCACAGTGTACCCATTTACTGATGACAGCTTCCAGCAGGATAACTCGTTACAAATAGGATATAACGTCACAAAGCTAAGATCTTCACAAACTGGTTTCTTGAACATGCCAATAAATTCATTGCACCCAAATGTCCTCCACAGTCATCATGCTCCAATGGAGCAACTTTGGAGTGTGGTGGAGAGTAAGTTTCACATCATGGACATACAGCTGACAAATCTGCAACTGTGTGATGCTATCACGAAAATCTCAGGAATGTTTCCAGCACCTTGTTGAATCTGTGCCACAAAGAATTAAGGCAGTTCTGAAGGTAAAATTGGTTCCAGCACAGTCTTGGTAAGTTGTAGCTAATAAAGTGTCCCATGAGTGTAGACCCTCCTGAAAACTAGCCTATTCATTTCTGTCCTCTGTAATAGACATTGGTTTTTGGTCAATATCTTTTAACTTATTTGAGCTACTAAATAGAGGACATCCTAAGCTTTCCACTGATATCTCAATAATAATAATAATCATGTGTTCGGGTGGCCTCTTTTAGCTCCAAAGAGGAAGTAAATCACAAAAAAGTTCAAGGGGAAGATTCTCTTTTCCTTGGTTCTCAGAATATGAAAACTTCAATTTTACTTGGAGTAACACTGTAAAGCATTGTGTAGCCTTTCATTCATGTCTTCTATGACACGACTTTTGTCTATTACAGTTAAAATAATTGAGCTTAAACTTGGAAATTAATAGATTTTTACAATACTGGCGGTATATTGAAAAAAATAAAACACTGAAATGATACGAAACGCACCCCTAATTACATTACAAATTTTACAAGACATGCTTCAAAAGGCACCATCTCAACAAACACAGTAGAAAAGCTCTATAACTAACTCGAGGTTTGGAAGACTTGCTTTAGAAGTCAGCCTCAAGTTGCAACTCATGGTACTGCCAGAAGGGTTTTTTTTTTTTTTTAACCTCACAAAGACCAGTTTGTTTGACAATTGTGATCACAGTGTACTTTGCCAGGGTCTGGTTAAGCATCCCATGACCTGGCCCTCTCAAGGAGGTGGGATGAGGCATGATTCAGTTGAACTTTGGCACATTAGGCATGTAGTGTGATAAATATATCAGGTATGTTAGAAGGCAGAGTGCCACTACTTCCAAAAATTGCCTCAATTAATGGAATCAAAGCACTTTAGTGATGCAATATAGCAGACCTACATCAGGCGTATTCTGGAGCAACGGCTGAGTGTGAATGAATGCGTTTGTGGGTCAGTTGGCGAGGTTCCCCTGACAGAGCTCTTTGGTGTACTAGATAAATGCAAGTCCCTGGTCTTTTTGTGCTTGCTTTTTATAAGACTTTTATAACTTTTGACCAAATGTCATATTCGATAACAGCGGTAAAGAGACATTTCTAGAGCATAGGTGCAAACTATCAATTTAGAGCCATATTAATAATAATAGCCAAATAAATGGGAAATATACCAGGCTTTAAAAAAAAAAAAGAAACATTTTTACGTTAACAAAGTGTCTAAAAATCCCTTGAAACTACAAAATCCCAAGATGGTGCTTTGTTTTCTTTGACAATGTGACACACTGTCTGGAGACTGTTATCCAACTGAAATTGATAAGTTTCAACGTGCTGATCTGATTCCCAGCCAGCCTACTTTATCAAAACATATTAGCTGATTAACAGTTGCTGGCAAGAGGTCAACAGCAATGATGGTAACGATAATTATTCTCATCATCAGAACAATTTTGTGATAATTATACATCTCTTGTGATGAGAGGTAATATTTGGAAACAGGAAGACAGCTGAAAAAATGAACAGATGTGATCACACTATTTTACAAGTAGCTGACTACATGCATTGATCTGAGCTGTGTTTTTATTGGAACCAATAAGATCTCTGCGCAGAGGTAAACACGTTCAACATACTTAAAAAAAAACAAACATAGTCATACATATTACTAAAGTTTTGACAGGCAGCCAGAGGTTAAAATAAAATGTCATATGACTTGCCATAGGAATTGAGACACAAGCAGGCGAGCTTGCTGTGAGTGAAGGTGCAAACAGCTTCCTGCTAAGCAAACGGTCTTGTGCAGTGATGGGAATCATTTAAGTGCTGTTGCCCATTAGATCATTCTCCCCCCCCCACACACACACACACACACAGAGTTCATACTGAATTTAGTTATTAATGACTTAATAAAAACTGTTAAGGATGCTATTGCGCATCCACAGCTTCACATGCAGCGCGCCTCTCTGCACACATACAAACACAGGCACAGCTGAATGTTCTCTGGTCCGATATTGAGTTATGACAAGTCTTTCGAGACCTACTGGCCACAGTATATGTGGTTCATCATAATGCAGGTGCCACATCACATTAGTCTCCACGTGTGAACCATGATTTTACTTGGTAATTCTGAAGCCTTTCGCTGCCTATACATATTCATGCTGAGCCTATAAGTGTCAAATTGAAATGTCCTTCCAGTGTCCTTGACAGCAGGTTATTAATATTGAATACCCAAATCAACATTATAACTAGATGAAGAGATATACAGGTCATCACCTGCCACAGTCTCCACACCTTCTGTCCTCAGACAGTTGGACAAATCATCAAATTATTGCATATATTGTGTAGCACCGTCCAGGGTATTATATGCATATCGCATTGAGCAGCTATTTGTCAACAGTAAGTTAATGAAACAATACAATGTTAACAAGACTCAATTATACTCAAATGCGATATCTTAAGCTTCTAATGAGGTCAATCCTCAAATAGATTTGTAAAAAAAAAAAAAAAATGTATACAAAAATATTGTTCTTGTATTACTTGAGACCAGGTTTCCTCTAATTTTCCTCATTTCTCATTTAAGAGGCAGCTAACTGAGAGCCCACGCGCTCTGACTTAAAAGCCATAAAACCCAGGGTATTACTCGGAACAGCAACATCTTAACTATTCCAATTCTCCAATCCTTAAATTAGTGAGGCTGTTGTTGCTTGTGGCTGGTTTTAAAATCCACCTCCTGAGCCGTGTGCAGCCCAGTACCAGAGGATTGTCTGGCTGCTGTGCTTGATAGGATGCTGGCTGCAGGCATCTCGTCACAGCAGCTGAGAGGAGGTCAGGCAGGTCCTCCTGCTTGTGGCGACGCCCAAGGGCCATCAACGCAGCGGGGAGCCCGGGCGCCGGTGAGGTCTCGCACAGCTTTGCCTTGCTTCATGAAAGCCTAATGAAGAGAGGGGGCTCTGAAACGGTGCTGTTAGACGCCCACAATCCTGCAGCAAGGGAGCAGGGAGAGGATAGATGATGCTTGCAGATGAATTCAAAGAGATGCAGCACAGAGCTGAGAGAGTAGAGGCAGATAACATACCGCCAAGTGTTTGTGTGCAGATTTATTGCTGTTAGAAATGAAGGACACAAAGTCTTCTTCAGTGATTGCCAATAATAAATAAAGTGTGTACAGAAGTGGCCCCACCCCACTAACAAGCAAAGAGTAAAAACAACAGAGTACAGTCCTCTGTATGGAATGTATGAAAGCAATTTAAAAACTTAATGCAGGCACATATCCTTGCATGTAAAAATAGGCCCATATATCATGCAAAAATAAAATTAGTCACCATTTTATGAGCATATCACTTTATCTATGCTTAAAGATAAAGGAATATGATGCATAATTTGTGACCAACTTTACATTATCCATTTATATAAACATATAAAAAGGTGCAAGTTAAAATAATTGCGCCTGTAAATCATCACTAACATTTAAAACCAGAGACCTTGCACTTCCAGAAAAATATACCTTTTTTAAGTAACATGTTTAATTCAAAATTTACTGTAAAGATTATTTCTCTTAAATTGCATAAAAGATTTTAAGTATGTTACGTAAATTAAAATATGTACAGGACAAACATGTATAATCATATTACAAACCAATATTACAGTTGAGTTCCAGATGGCACAACCCGAGGCGAAGAATATAAATTAAAGCAGCTTCTAATTATCAATCTTTAAGAGTAAACTGTACATAGAATGCACAGACATTAGTAAATATTTAAAGTAATCTGTGAAAAGTCCTCAGTAAGGACATCTTTGGCTGAAAGCTGTTTAGGTGCTGGTTGAATGAGGCAGTGAATGAGGATTCGTGCCGGCTGAACAACCTGAAACCAACTCCAAGTGAGAGACCGCAGCGCTCAGACAGTTCCTCCATCCTCCTGAAAGTGTTTTTAGGTGGGAATCCCACACACAGCAGCATCGGGTCCAGTATTCATACAGTCTTCCATCCACAGTGCATTCTACAAGACTTTCTTCTTCCTGCTCCCTCTCAGCTCACTGTACTGAACCTGGAAATCATCACATTTTATAAATTTAAAATATCAAACAAAAGTACCTTAGACAACAACAGACATCACTCAACAGAAGCAAGCAGTTTAAATTCTTCCCATTTATGAAGTGAAAAGCAGAGAGTTCTTAAGGTTCATTACAGGGTGCGGTCTTTGATATTCTGATAATGGGACGGTAGATTATTTTGTACACAGTGGTCAAAAAAAGATTAGTTTAAAAGTTTAGGATACTTTCATCATTAAGTAAAATTAAAATGTGTTTTCTTCACTTGTTGTAATATTTTTTTGCAAATGAGAAGAAGAAAGTTCTGTCACTACCAGCACTGAGAGGGAGACCCATAGTCATCGTTCATACACAACAACAACAAAACAGAGATACTGGAAAGTCACCGTTACGCAACCCAGTGGCCCAAGGGCATTGTAGAAGGAGAAGAGACAAACGGGGTCAAACAGCTTAGAGAGACAGGGACTGTGAGGAGCAGAGACGACGGCGGGTAAAAAGAGAGAAGACAGAAAGGAGAGTGCGAAGAAAGAGAGGAGAGGTCAGCACGGAGATCATGTGCAAGAGGAGGAATGAAAAAGAAACTTGTGAATAGTACTCACTTAAAAAACAATGTTTATATAGCTTATAGGTGCAAGGTAACCATTTTGAATCTTACTGAATGTAAGATTCAGTAGGACCCCATAACACTCACGACAGCTTTTGAAGCTGAAGTGTTGGTAAGTACGAACAGGAGACACCAGCAGCAGCAGCAGCAGCAGCAGCGTCTCCCGTCTCAGCCTGGGAACAGCCTGCGTTACAAAGCTGCTAAGCAGCAGACCTCCACCAGGGATGTATCGGGACCAAAACACAACCAAAATTATACAGGGCTACATAATTATACAGATGGAGCTAATTATACAGACAAGAGTAAAGAATGCCTGGGAGTTGTTGTAGTAAGATGCAAAGCTAGCTGGCTCTGGGATTTTGGGCTTCCTGGCCGGCTGATCCAGCGGAGCTTACCTTCTGCACATCTGAAGGCACCCTCGACAGGAAATCAAGCACTTCATTGTTGTCAATGCTGTACGGGTTCCGTAATTTCTTGGTGAATTTATTGATACCTAAAACAAAAGTTCACACCAACATATCATTAACACTAGTCTCCTGTGGCTGTGCTCTTTGTTTCCATACAAACAAATACTTGCAGGGGAGACTCATGCTGTCCAAGAAATATTGCTTTGAGTATCCCCAGTATGTGCCTTTTTTGTTGTGTTATTGTCACTTTTTATAGCTGGAAGACTTACACCACTTTACACTCCAGTCATTCAGCCAATAAATTTATCCAGTAAAAGTCTTAACAATAGGATATACATCATAGTTAACATCACTAACATAATAAGTTGCAAATGTTAAAAAGACACAGCCGGAAACATATGGAGCAAATACTCCTTCGGCCTTACATAGCTGCTGGATAATAGAAAGATTCAAACAAAAGAGATGAAAATAAAAGTAGAGGAGGGGCTTTTTTCTACGACAAACACTTACAATAGTGGAAAAAGATTTTTGTCATCAACACAAAACAATGAACACAAAAGAAATGAAATAATTACCACATCTACAACTCACCCCATATTAAAACTATGTAGCGTATAGGGATGAAGTATGTGATAATTGCTGCAGTGATGAACACCAACAAAGCCAAGGCTGACAGGAACGGCATGGTCCAGTTGAACATGCTGACAAATAAGAAAACATCAGTCAGAGTCAAGAAAGGATTTTTTTTCTGCATTAATTCAGTGAAAATAAACATAAAGTACAGTACTTATTAGAGCAATATTAAAACATAGAACAACAAAAATAAATGATGCATAATTATTAACACATTTCAGGAAAATGACAAAATTAAAGTCAGTCATAAACATGTCTGATTCTTGAATTGGAAAAATCAAATGGATACAGCTCTGAAATGACAATACATTGTTATCTCTTACTTTTTAATCCTCTCCCCTAAACAAGCGATCCCGTCGAGAAGGTTTTGAACGGTGAGGATGATGTCTTGGACCATGTGGATTTTCTCTATGAGCCCTTTCCTCTCGGACTCCTAAAGCAGCAAGAAAAAAAAAAAGACAAAGAAAAATCTGCTTTGGAAAACACTCAAAGGCAACACAGTGGTCATGAAAAAACTGCAAAAACCCCCAAAAACAACAACAACAACAACAAAAAAAGATAAATACAAAACATCTTCAGTTTTTGCCTAATATGGCCAATTTTATTTGGAGCAAAAATATTTTTAGCAAAAAGAATAAAGCTCTCTCAAAGATGTGAATTTAAAAAAGGTAATGAACAGTAATAGTGTAAACTGTGTTGTTTTAAGTACTAATTAAAAATGAAGGACCGTGTCTTCATGGTTCTAATTAAAGGTTTTGCACCGGTTGACAATATTCCTGCAGTAATAGCTTGTGACAGACTGACAGACGTGCAGCTCATTAAATTACTCTTAATGCTTGCAATCAGCACCAAACAAGCTTTGGTTTTTGCTAAGAGAGTTACTTAGTAAATGTTATGGTGCAATATCCACCACTTTTTGCTCTCCCTTCTAAATATAATAATAATAAATTAAAAATAAAGGCTGAATAAAATAATCTCTTGTATATAGAGTTTGTACTGGACTTCAGTATTATTTATTACACATTTGAAATAAAGTATGGACACTTGAAAGTAGATTAAACAACAAAACTTCTGTGGGAATTTGCAGGCTCGAGTATAAACTAACCCTGCCTGTTCAGCTTTGTTTGCACAGACTGATAGCTACAACATTTCCAAAACCACAGCTTTGATCAATACCAGGAAACCAAACCCGTAAACACACTCATTCAACTCTGATGAAGAGTGTCTGCAAAATGTGAATGCAAAAATAAAAAAGAAGGGGAAAAAAAAGCAAGTTAAGATGTGAAAGGACTGGACATCGCATTATGAAAGAGACAGAGTATCGTTCTCAGGCTGCTCCAGATCCCAGGAGGAAAAATGACTTAAGTAAACAGAGGAGGCCAGATCCTCTCGAAGATCTCTGGAGTGAGCGCCAGACTTCAGACAGAGACATGGCCACATGTCCACATCAAATGCGTTGAGACTAAAGAAGGGTTATAGGTCCAAAGAGAGGATCTGCGGTATGTGTGGATGGTGGGGGGGCAGCGTTAGTTATTGGGGGACAGGGCAAAAGGATATTCCAGATGCACAGTGACTCAATGTGAAAAACCACATGTGAGGCAAATCTCGCTTCACCTCAGTGAAGTATCCATCACTGCACTAAACCACTTCAGCCATTTAAGGGTCACGTTCCCACTGGAACCAGTATGAGAACCACTTTAAATCAGGCCAATGCCGGCCATTCAAAATGTCCACAATAAACTCCTGTCACCCTGAAGAAATATTTCATTGCCTGAAAGCATTTTAACACTTTCAAGATAAACTTTCAAAATGAGCTCTGAAAAAGCATGTCTAAGTGCCGTCATTAGTTCCATATTGATGGTATTATATGGTGTGTTAAGCTGAGGGACTTTCCAAATGCAGCAGAACCCTTTTCCCCACCCCTCTATTTGCATATGAATGTGTTTTGACAAGTGGAAACGGGTTGGTGAGGTCTTCATTAAACTCAAATGTCTTTTGGTAAGCACAAGTTTACAAAAAAATACAACTGGTGCTTGACAGGAATCAAAATGCATCAGAAGATTTAGTACTGAATAAAAAGCTTAGCAACACAGACCCATAGATCAGAGGGAGATACCTTTTGTCAACATGAACAAAATGAAGCTAAATTCTTTTTTTATTGAGCAGCATACAAAAGTCAGCAAACACCTGGCAGAGGCGCATACCTTCTCATCGTCTTCATCCTCATCCGCCAAATCCAAGTTGGTCTGAAAGAAACAATTGCAACGGAGAGGTGAAATTATGAGAATTTCATTATCAGACTTAATAAAGCTCGTCTCACTGGGACTGTGAGCTGACGCTGAGATCAGTCTCCTGAAACACTTTGCAGAAAATCTGACCAACACAGGACACAGTGGACTTTTCAGGAACTAATAGCTAATTAATACCTTTCCATCAGCACCGGATCACAATTGCTTGTATGCGAGAGAAATAGCTCAACAGGTCAAGCCCACTTAGAATGACCCCACTTAGCGGTGCTGTGTGTTTTAGCATGATTCAGCTCATTGTTTTTGTTTCTCTGCTCTCATCTTTACTGTTTTGGTTTCGCACCCCGATCATCTCATCTTAGCCTACTACCTAAAATGAGCATCTAGCTAGTGCAGCATTAAGAAGTCAAACCCCCAGCAGTTGCCTGGCTATTTTCAGGCTACAATGAGCATAAACATGCACATTTTTCCAACTCAAGAAAAAACGCTTCTTGCTATATATCAGTGTTATGTCTAAACCTTGCTTCTGCTGCCCACAACATGGCAAAAAAAAAAAAATCTTTACTCCAACATTGACCTTTTGTTCTGATCTGTAACAGGATGCTGCACTTAAAAAAAATCCATGTAGGTTATTTCACATGATAAATTTGTCAAATGTGTGTGTTTTCAGGTTTGAAATGGACATGATATCAGATATAGTTAAACCCAAATATGCTCAGAGTTTGTATATGATGAGTTTTTGAATGTTTTCTTGTTTATTGACCAAACTTTAACTTTTATTTTTTCATAGTTAGGAATAAAAACTTTAAATCAGTTGCAGAGGGCGTTGCATTGATTTCCAAAGTAAATTCTATAAATCTTTACCCTAATGCTTCCTTGTGACAAATGAATCTATGTGCATGATCTGATCAACATGCAGATCTGGTTCTTTGAGGACATATACACTGTATACTTACATATATAGAGCCGATAATGTTTTCTGCAAAAAATTTGCCCACTATTTTTAATGTTCTAAATTGTTACTTATTTTGATAATCAACCGATCATTTGACTTATGTATGATTGCATATGCTTTAGTCAAATTAAAAAAAATAATAATAATAATACTAATGTTTTACAATTTTCTTACACAGATCACCTGAAAAGTTAATTAATTGGGAAAAAAAATAGTCAACACATTAACTGAATGTGAATTGTTGTGTGAGCAGAGCTTGGTGTCTAAAATTTGCTACCATGTATTCTGTGTTGAACCACCATTAATGCATTCTCTAAACAGACCTTGTGTTTCACATTCAATACTTCTTCAGAGTGTTACATTGGGGGGGGGGGGAAAAAGCAGGGAGCATTGTGACCTTGTGACATTGTAGGAGATAAAAACTTTTTTTCTAATCTGACCAGTCACAACAAGAACAGGGCAGCAGGCCAATTACAGTGAAGCCGAGGACAAAAACTAGAGGAGGAACGGGAAAAAAGAAAACTGCGTTAGTAAAGGACAAGCGCTGTAAATTAGCTTAGGCTATAATGGTCTGTTACATTAGTCTATTCAGTGAGTTTTCAATGCTTATGTATTATGTGTTATTTTATTATTATGTATTATGTAGCCATGTGCGACGGGTTGCTATGGAAACATACCAGCCTTTAATTATGAGAACAAAATGTGGCTTAAGAGGCTGTTTTTCTACAAAATAAAGAAATAAGAAGCGTGAATAAGAGCGAGCAGGTCATTTGGCAGAAAGAGGAGAAGATGGATAAGGCTGACAAAGCTGCTCTCAACTCACCACATCCTGGCTGACCCGTCCAGATTGGATCTGCAGGTAGTTCCACGAGATGAGCAGAACAAAGGAGAGGGGCAGCATATAAAACTCCCAGTACCATACTGTCACCAAAAACACCTGCGGGCAGAGGGTCCAGAAATCAGACATCAATGAAGGCAAAAGGGGAAGCGTTACATTTTAGATCAACCGAGCAGGAATTCGATCTGTTATTAAATTGATTGTAAGATAATTGGTCAAGCTAATGAAGGCTGCCCTACCATTATACAAACTCTGCACACTAATTGCAGTTAGACTGCATATGCTGTGCAGGTATAGATGGTATATAAATGGCTAGAGGCTCTAGGTCTAAAAAGTGATGCCAATCTGCTGTTAAAGGGGAAGACTCCTTTGGTTGAAAAATCAAGTTCAATTCCATAAAAAGCTATGACAGAATGACCCAACTTCTTGAATTCAAACCTCAATAAACACTTTGCTGATGAGTTAATAGTCTCAGCCACATGTTAATGCTCTTTGACATGATATCTAACAGAAAATGATGTCCATCCGGTCCTGAATTAGAGTATAATTGATTAGAAGATAAATAGAGAATAAGCATGGCTACCTTGAGATTGGCAAGTAGTTACCCTATGAGTGTGCAGTGTCCTTGGTTTCTCAGTCAGACCTACTGCTTGCTTTTCATATCCAGTTAAAAACAAAAAAAACAAACAAACAAAAACGCACCCAAGACGGTGACTGCCAAAAAAACTCCGCTTTAGGATTCAAAAGAGGACTACGCAAACCAACTGGTGACATCATGAGGCCACATCCATCCTGTATATACAGCAAAAGAAAACCATTCTGCTCAGTTGGACTTACACTTACTCCTGACTATGCATTGACATTAACCACATAGCTCTAATTGCTCCATCTCTTTCATCTTCTGTACATTAAAGCTGACCGATTCACTACAGCCTCAGGGAGCTTCTGTGTGAATGTGCAATTAACATCCATAATGGCACTTATGATGCACATTCCACCTGTGTGGCTAAGGTAAAAAGGATAAAGAAACATAGCCTGTGATATCTCAATTGCATGGCTAAATGGAACTATAAAATAATCCTATCAGAGAGGTAGTACAAGCCAAAACGGCAGCGGGCCAAAAGCATTGGGAAGGGTTTACAGGTTTTTATATGCTAATAAAAATAGAAGAGAACATCTGGTGAAGACATCACTCTCCTATGAGGCACCAACTGACATAAAAGATGGCAGATCAGTGCCGCCCCTCCCACCACCAGCACCACCACCTCCGCCAATATCACCACCACCATCAGCTTTAATGTGCAAAAAGCCAAGCACGCTCTTGCCTGTGTTATCACAAGCCAAAATAGGGCCTGGGAGAGGAGATGAAACCAGTTCCTCACTGGAAGGGTTATGTTTTATTAGTGAGGACTTTGTAATGACTGGGAGAGCGAGGGTAAGGGGAAAGCCAAGTCACGCTTTAGTGGAAATGTATACTCAGCCCATAAAGATTGTGATAATTGTAGCCCATTTCAGCTTGAGAAGCATTACACAGTCTTCAACAGCAAAAGGGGACTTTGGGAATACAATCCACATCACAGGGGAAAAAAAAAAAAAGAAAAAGGATATGTTATGCTGGGACAGCTACTGAACTGGAGGCTGGCGCATTTATAAAAAGCAGCAGGATTTCCACACTCATGTTTGGGGGAAGGGTTTGCATGGCACAAAAACCGCTTTGGACCATTCATTGTTTTTTTAGTGCGAACATGTGAGTGAAGAGCACACCTAGTGCACCCACAAGTAACAATTATGGCATAATACTAACAGTTAAAATGTAGTCTAACAGTGGTATAAGTGGAAAAGAGTCATACAGTCGCAAAACTGAACACACACCCAAAATTTAAAACGATTCCCTAACATTAAATAAACATCATAAGCTAATGGCTATGCCAGAATAAGTAAGGATATAGCAGTCAAACCTTGAAGTCTAAGCACAGGTTTTTGGTCTACATATTCATGTGTTATAAACTGAAGAATGAGTGAGAATAAATCTTGTAACACTGAGCGTGTTACCCACTCCCTAAAATACCGCCCAGTGATTAACCATTATAAGAACTGTTACAAATTTAACTTGGCTTTATCTCCAATTATTTCAGCACTTAAAAAGTCACTAGACTGACAGTCACTTACATGGTTTAAAGGATTATGTAGCCTGCTGTAAAGGGGTGAGGAGGGTTAGAGCAATACTGTAAATGCACTGTGGACACGCTCCAAAATCAATCAGTTTTGGATGAACAGACACAATTTATCTTGCCAATGTTAGTGTGTAGTTTATATTGCAAATCTAGTTCAAAACTATATAAATTTCATGTATATATTTTAAAAGGCATTAATGCGACTTAAAAATTATTTAGAGGCACTGCAAGATGCCTGTAGAGCCTCCTTTTAAGAAATAGTTGATACAAAGTTGCCAGAAAATAACACAGAAATCAAAAAGAGGATGAGGTGGATGCACATGTGACCACACTCTTTTCAACACTGTTGCTGCATTTTTTGTGGGGTGACAGATAAGAATATGAAAGAAAAAAAAAAAAAAAGAGTGCTATTTGGAAACAGGCTCAGTGTTTTTTTCCCCTTGACTCAGAGCACCGACAAGAAATGGTAACCCATAAAAAGAAAAGCTAAACACCAAGTGCTATTTCAGAAATAAAGTAAAGGAGAGGAACAGCGTGTGATCCATTATAGTTCAGTGGTTAGGACAAGACTAACACCTTTGGGATTGGGGCTTCTCACTGAGATAACCACTACCTAACAAGGCACATCTAAAGCATACTGTACTGACGAAAGCTCTTTGTCTAACTGACAATCGGCAGATGGTGCAGGTAGCTCGTCACTGTATCCTGTCATGAGGAGTGAAGCTCTGATTCATTACGCTTATGTGGTGGTATTAAGCAGCCATTTATTTCTTCTCGCTGAGGCTTGAAAAGGCAGCGAGCATTAGTGTGAAAACATGAGTACAGATGGTACTGTCTTTCAAATACCGAGATGCAGTGGGAGGATGTGTGTGTACATTGTGCACTTGTTCCTGCTTGTATGATGTCGCCGTCAGCGTATGTGTGTCTCAGCTGTCAGGTAAAATAATAATATCATTGCTTATAATCAACACAGTATGCGCGCTACATTCTTCATAATTATGTAAATAAGAATCTTCTTATATTGTAATAAAGACCAAATATTGCAAACAGTTTCTTATTAAAGTACGCTGACCCCGACTTCATCCGGGGCGGCACAGCTTAGATCAATGTAATCCCAAGCTGAAAAATGAAATGCACGACTCAGAGCTAAAACACAGAGTGGCTGCTGCTCAGATAACAGCTCTGTGCTGCAGCTCCCATTTTTCACGGCAAATTGAACAAACTGTACCACTGGCTGGCTTACAGTATCTCTTTTAGTCTGTTAAGAAAGTCTAAACGCTTGACATAACTTTATTGCCACCTACAGGCCATGAGCTGCAAAAACAAAAGGAACTTTAGGTGACCTTGATTGCTTGCATAGTTAATGAACAACTTGCTGTATGCCATTTTTATCACGCCAGATCTCTGAAAGAATAATTCCAAAAAGATCAGCACCCACTTTATTTTGTAGTTTAAAGACAGAGGCTGAAAGGCTACTCCCATGTTTCTGTCTTCACATTTGCTTTAACACTTGTCTTCAACAATGACAGGACGGAGAATCAGCCTTATCTCTGAAGAGCCTTTTAATTGAACTTCTGTCTGCATAATGGGGTCTAAATCACACCGAGCACAGACCGGACAGAGGGTTAATGAGTTGTCAGGGAAGCAGAACAAAAATAGACTATCTCGACTCCGGTGGGACTCTACTCTCTCCAGCTGAGGCTTAACTCTACATCCAGGAGACATGCAACACTGAAAGCGTCCACTCCAACACAGAGCCAGGGCCAAGCCTGTGTTTCTGCTGAGCCCAGTGCTGCATTGATTAAGATTCTCTCTAGGAGAGTTCAAGTAGGGGTTGGCCAGACTGCGGTTGTCTTCCGCAGCCTTGGAGGGAAAACAGAGGGAAATGCAGATAGTGTGTTGATAAGCAGTTAAAGCACTTCACCAGGAAGGCTAGCAGGCTCCTCTGAAAACTCTCCCACTGGAAGCAGCTTTTGATGTACTGCAGAGTCGACATGATTGCCCTGTACAATGTCTGAACACGCATCACGTTCCTGGCCAGAGCCTGAAAGACAAACACACAAAGCAGTTAAATACTGCAGTAGCTGCGTTGAAAAAATGGTCATAGTTGATACTGATTTCAGGGTATTTGGATTTAATTCTGTAAGGAGTTCCACCCATACCACACTTCAAAAAAAAAAAAGAAAAAAAAGAAAAAAAAGCATCCAGTCAGCTCGAGGAATAGCGAGAGGAGCTGGTATGCCTTGGCATGAGCCACTGTGGTCAGGGGGCAAAAAATGTCAGTAATCTGACCTGATTTCATCAAACAGGTCTTTCGATATTAAAACAGACTGAAAACCTGCACGTTACAAACCAAGTCCACGGTGTGTGTAAGCCAATTTTGGCGTTAGTGAGCAATGTATTGTCTGACAACAATGAGTCTTTGTGGGAAGTACAGACAGTCAGGCACCCTGTCTCGCACCCTGTCTTGCACACTGTATATCAAACTAATGTAGCAGAACAGTGAACAAGAATTCAGTCAAAGTTGGCCTCAATTAAAGCCCAATTCAACTAATTCAAGCAAAGGAAGGTCTGCTTTTGGAGTCATTTTGCTTTCCAGAGAAAAGAAAAGGAAAAAAAAAAAAGTATTTAATTTTTTTATGTCCATTTCTTAAAGAGCCAATTGGTAAAAACATGTTAACATTTGTTCAATTTGTCATGTCTTTTTTTAGTTTCCAAATAATTTTTTGGGTTGAAGTTGCAAATATTTCAGCATCACAAAAATATCACATTTCTTAAAATCATTTGTATTTTATTTTTTTAACATCTAGCACATTTGTTTAAAAACACATTTTCAACCAGAAAAAACTGAAAGTGGGACTTTTTGCTCACAAAATTATTTTAATTGATTATCAATATAATTGCAGACTCATTTTCTGCCCATTTAAAAAAAAAAAATGTTCCAGCTGAGTTTCAGAAGACTTAACCAGTGAAAAAAATAAATAAACAAGCAACTTGAAATTTTAATTTGATGTTATGGAAAGTAAATTTATTTGTTTACTTTTTCCCCCATTCATAAATATACTTTGTTAACTATGAATCGTGAATAAATGTAAAAAGATGTATCAAACCTTTTTGGAAAACTTGGGATTGTCCTCCATAAAATATCTCTCCTTCGGCTGGAAGGTTCTAATGCTTGCTCTAACCTGATTAAAAAAAAAAAAAAAAAAAAAAAAAGTGATAAAGTAATAAGAAGACGACAGAATGAGGCCTGCCTTTCAAAGCCATCGTGTCCTCATTGCAGGGTGAACCTTTACTTACAGGGTTAAAAATAACCTCCAGCTCCAGAGTGATGCTCCCCTTCGACAGCTCGCCTAAGTCCTCTTTCTTCAGCGGGAAGGCAATCTGTTGTCCCCTGCGGATCTGCAGGACAGAAAGGGCATCAGGTGCTGAACTCAGCCATGAACCTGACCATCAGTCACGCTGGATTACATCTTAGCAAGTCTTCAGCCTGCTGGAGTGTTATCGCCCTCTTCACTTTAATTTAGACAGAGTGCAAATAGATTATTGTCTACGTCACAGACTCTTAGTGAGGTTGTACGTACCAAAAGCAGAGGAATGGCAACTTTTCCAAGGAAGTCTGGCGCCTTGTCTCCATCCTCATCAAAGATAGTCACCACCAGAACATCATGAATGTCTTTGACAGGGCTGCAGAGACATAGAACGAGGTCAGATGCCTACAAATCAGCACACCGTATAGCAATATGTCAGGATATTTCAATTTATTTGTAAAACAGTAAAATGGTTCAGTAATGTAAGAAAAGTAATGTTCAATAATATGTTTCAGTTTAAATAACAAAAAGGGTGTGGAAACAGAAACCCAAACTGACAATGTAAAGACTGTATCCCATTCTGGGTTTAGGCTTTTGTAGACCGTGTGGGTTTGTAGTCTGTCGTTCCCCAGTTCCAGCACACAGAAAGGGTCACTCTTGCCTGCAGAACACAACACTCAAAACTTTATAGCAGGGCTCTTGTGTTTCATTTAAATTTGTCATTAAGACGAATCTAAATGCATGAAATACCATTTAAATCAGCAGCCATCAGATCAGTAGCCTTAATAACTTTGACTTGAAGGAATCCAACGTCACGGAGATTTGTCAGGGACCTTTTTAAACTCTGGAGAGACAGTAAGCAGACAAGAAAAATTAGGTTTGGCAAACCTGCAAAGCATAAATAGAGTGTTTAATTCAGCAGAGAATGCACAAAAATAAGAAATCATTCAATCTAAAACCAGATTTATGTGACAGCATAAGATGTTACTTCAGGTTCTCCGCAATACTCTTAACCATAAAACCTTTTGAGCCTTACACCTTAAACCTTTTGACGATGCTAGTTGAGGGAGGCATCAACTAAATTTATTCATATTGCAAAACAAAAATTTTCTTTGCAAGTTTTAGGCATCAGCATTTTCCACTAAACCTTAAATACACTATCAAGGCACGTGCTCAAAACAGTCCATACTTGTAACTGGGCTGCCACACAATTGCAAATGAATGCTTACCAAAGTACGTTACACATCACAAGCAAGCATCAAGTCACTGCAAGTATTTTCATACTTTTCTGGAATGAAAAGAAACCAGTGGCTGCAAATCTAAAATCTATAAACTAGCATAGCACTTAAAGTGAAAGCTTTTGATAACAGCGTTTAAGGCAGACTGCAATGGGGTGGTGTCTCCAAAACAATCTACTATAGGTAGTTATTCCTCTCTGTACATGATCAAGTACAGTTTACCAAATGGCTACAATCTGGACTTGTTTTCCCTTCTTGGGCTAAATTTATTTCTGTCACGGCATCTCTTTTCATTGCTAGTCTAGCTGCATGGTCAGGTTGCATTTCCAGACCTTAAATTTCTTAGATGTACACAGACACTTCTGCCTAAAAGCAACTTGTCACGAAAGAATGCCATCTGCTTAACACAGACCTAGCAGTAACCCATTACCAGGCACATACTGCCATCTCTTGGCCCTTAACACAGAGCGCAGAAAGGACTGTAGGTTTTCAGCATGACTTTGACTTAAATATTAAATATTTACACTTCAGTTCTTCAAACTTGTATTTTAAGCCCAATTATTAGTTTAGTAAATGCGTGTTTTCAGCCTATGTTAGGGTTAGATGTGATGTTTGCTCTACAGACTGACACAATAAAACAGTTTTTCTTGGCATGTTTACTAGCTTTAATAAACAGAAAACAGCCACTCTGAGTTAGCTCACTTAGCTGACATTTTGCTCTTTTAAAGTCGTGCCAAGGGCGTATTTTCTGAGTTACTGTCGAAGCTAAAGGATGGAGTTGTGGAGGACAAAAATAGAACAAAACCCCAAAACATGGATGTCAAAATGTTTTGTTGTTGTTATTGTTGTTTGTTAATGCACTGGATTATTTAAAAACAAGCTTAATGACAAACATGGTTTACTATACGGAA